TTACCTGGGGCTTACCGAATGAACTTAAGTAAGCCATAAGCCAAGATTTGGAAACTCCAGAGACTGCAAGGAACTGCAAGAGCCAAGTAAATCGCTTTATGGAGTAGGGTGATGACCCAGCCTCTATTTGGCCTGCTTCACAGGGTTGTTGTGAAAATAAAATGGCCCAAGAAACAATACTGGTGATAGAAATAGAAGATGATAACACAAGGAAATAAGAGAAAAGCAAGTGCTCCGATGCTTAATGGCATTCAAAAAAAGCACACAACTAAAAAAAACAAACCAAATTCAGAAGTTTCTACTAAGTCTTCATATTTTTATTCTGTATTTAAGCACAAAAGTTTGACATATACATTTTTTACATGAAAAAAAAAGATGGAAAATACATCCGAGAGGGGAAGATATTTTTTTAAAAAAATCTCATTTCTGCCATCATTACATATATTCAGAGAATAATAATAAAAATAAAAAAGAGACAGAAACCAAGAGATACCTCCCTAGGATGTACTGGGCTACATCCAACCTCACAACAGGTTTGGAAACATCTGGGGGGGGAAACCTACGTACTTTTGGGGAGGGGAGAAACACACCAAGTTCATCTAAATGAGTAAAAAGCAAGGAAAAAAATGGTCAGCAAGACTGCAACTGCATCTTAAGTCCTCTGAATATTCCCCCTTCATCAGACCTATCCAAAGTTATTTGCAAGCCTCTGATATACATCTTAGTTCCCTTAAATTATGTGGAGGAAAAGTAACAAAGAGTGACAGATTTAGTGTTTTTGAGAGCTACACTTCCAATCCTCTAGTTCTCCCCGAGACGGTATAACTCTTGGGGAATCAATCAAAACCCCAAACGTATCAGATGGGGCAGCTGAAGTTTTGCTTTGACGCTGATTTGTTTGCAGAGCCTAAAACGGGCCTTTGAGGAGTGACCGAACGCTTGTGAAGCCTGTCGCGCATCGCTTGGGTTGGATAACATGAGGATAACATATTGTACGCGGCTCCCTGTTGTCCAATCCTCCCCCAAACAAGCGTTTGCTAAAAAGGTCGTACTTCTCTCCAAACGGTATTTTGAATCCAGAGGTGCTGGCAACCGGGAAACCTATTTCTGTTCCTTCGCTGCAGTGAACTGAAATCAAACTTAAGACCTCCACCCACTCGAGAGGTGCAGAGGGGCTCTGCCCGTGGCATGGAAGAAGCAGAAGCACTGCCGGATTCGCAATCGGTTGGCTACCGAAAATCCTGCCAAGCGAATGGACGTTGCTGAATCGCGCCCAACTCACTGCGGTTTCAAGTCTGGTAGAAAGCAGGTGAGATGTTTCCATAGGCCTGTTTTTCAGAAAGAGGGGCTTTTGCTTACATGCTCTTTTTGAAGAACCGTTTGGTTTAGCAGTGGCATGGGGGGTGGGGGTGGGGGGAGAGAGCTTTTCGAAACAGAAATGACAGCATTAGTAGAATCAGCACAGGATCACTGAAAAGCCTTAAAAAAGGTGATTTAGAAACAATTGCCCCCTTCATCTCAACGTTTACTCAGTCGTTTGATCTGAAACCCCATCACCTCTACTCAAGATCCTAAGACAGCGCTCCAACCAGGTTGCTAACTTCTCAGGGGCCAATATAGCTGGTGAAATTATCCTCCCTGGCGCTCTAAAACTTCAGTCACAAATAGGAAACCTGCTTTTTTGGAGGCTGTAGGGGGGAAAATGAGCAAGGAGTGTATTTCTCAAATCGTGTCCTTCGCGTCTCGCAGAAAACACACACTAGGAAAAAAAAGGAGCAGGCCTTACGCCCATCCTATGCTGGCAGGTAAAGGTCTTCAACTAATTAAAAATCAGCAAGGGCAGCAGCTTGGATTATGAAGGGAGAGAAGGAAGGTAACTTCATAAATGCTTCCAGTGGGACAGTCAAGAGTGCAAAATCGCCTTCCCCAAACACCAGCAATGGAAGGAATGGAAAGTGCATGAAATATACACATATAAGTCAAAGGGACATATTTTGGAAGGGAGGGAGGGAGGGAGGAAGGAGGAAGAAAAGAACACACCAAAGGTTAGAGACCCCGATCTTTGCACTTTCCAACAAGACGCGGATGGAGACAGGGCAAAGTTTGAGAGAAAACTCCCACAAGCCTCTTGGGAGTTAAGGCTTGCACCCGTGGGAAAGAAATGCCTGAACATTCACGATCAGGTACCGATTAGAACAAGCGTGGAGGGGAAGCGACACCCGAGCCCACACCGGGAAATTTCAGTTTCCCCGGAAAGTGTTTTGAGCGGCCGCAGAGGCTGCCCCGCTAGCAGCAGTCTGAAAGTTCCTGTTGGTGAGGATTCCTTGGGAGAACTCTTCCTGTGCTCTCTGGAAGCTGGCGCCCGTCCGGCGATAGAGCGAGTGCACCTTTGGGAGTGGAGAAAGCAGGATGAGAACAGAACTTCGCCAAACGCCCCACCAACAAGTACAGAGCTGGCCCTGCTCATCCAGTTCCAGTGGAGAAGCCCCCGGCCCCCCCAAGCAGGGTGATGGTGGTGGCACTCTGGCCATTTATGCAAATATTATAAATTAGCCATTGCAAATTGGATGGTCTGTCGATAATCCACAAGCTGCTTTTTGGCAAGTGCTTCACGTTGTACTTGCAATACAGTACAGTGTGAACGTTAGAATAATCCTAAAACATTCAAGGGTAACAAACAAGTGAACGATGATACGGTCCTCTTTGGGCCATGTAAGCTCAAAACTAAAACAATGATCATTGAGAAGTTCACCTGCTCCTGAGCATCCTGTGTATAAGAATCTAGCATTTCAAGGAGTAGGCTAGCCAACAATCAGCCTTCTATACGTAGGATTGTTTTCTTGGAGAAACATTTGAACAGACTTTCTCCCTTCCTGTATTCTGTGTTGGAAGATGTCCAGGAGAACTTGGTTTAAAAGGGGAAAATGTATACAGTGGTACCTCGGGTTACGAATTTAATTCGTTTCGTGACTCTGGTCGCACCCCGAAGCAAATTTTCCCATAAGGTTCAATGTAATTACCGTTAATCCATTCCAGCGTCCACGGACGACATGTCAAGGGCGGAAAAACGGCCGCGGACCACGTGGCACGGGAGGAAAAATGGCCGCGGACCACGTGTCAGGGTGGAAAATGGCCGCGGATCACGTGTCACGGCGGAAAATGGCTGTGGATCTGGTTCGTATCCCGAGGCGGAGTTTGCACATCAAGGTAAATTTTTGCGGCTGGAGCTGGTCGTATCCCGAAAAGTTTGTTAGCAGAGGCGTTCATAACCCGAGGTACCACTGTATACAGTATTTCTATTCCCCATCCCCCCACCCCCAATCAGGGAGCTGAGGACAGTCTGACCTAACGTAAGTGATGAAAAAAGAGTTGGGAATTATTGTAATGCATTGTCAGAGGGGTAGGCAACCAGTCCCCTTTCAGATATTTGGGACCATGGTATCCATCAGCCCCATTCAGCCTGGAAAAGACAAGGAGTGGGTGACCTCCAGTTGCTGAAAGGTTAAATCTGCCTCCCCGCCCCCCGTGTAAAGAAGAGGGAGGAAAGCTACATGAATGAATACATGTATGGAAATGACTGTAGAACCCTGGACCATGGTAGAGTTTTTACCCTTCTGCACCCAACTCACTCGCTTTAGCAAGAAGATGGAGAGAATAGCACAGGATGTGAAGAACACGGCCACCATCATCATGATAATCTTCACTGCCAAGTTCTGAGTCCCGGAGATTGCTAAAATCCAGCCACTGGAAGAAAAGCAGAGGGGAAAAAATACTGGGTGAGCAAGAGGAGAGCAGGAATCCAGACTGCACTGGGAACAGGGAATCAGCACCGCGGATACAGGAGGCCACCTGATTCCCTTATTGGTTCGTAAGAAGCCACTTGAAAGAAAAGAAGAAAATTCTGTGCCCGAGCATCTGCTCTAGAGAGGCCTGTTTGGTCTACGTGTCTCATGTTATCATAGGTAGTAGCCAGGAATAACCAATTCCGAGCATTTAATTCAAGACTGCCCACAATTTGATAACTGTGGAAGGGTCTTTCTGCTTTTAAGTCCAGAGTGCTTTGCTAGTTGAAACAGAAATTAATTTTCATACCCTGCCTTGGCCACACACGTGGTTTGGGGTTTTTAAAAGACAGAATTTTAAAACAGTACTCTAAAACAAAGCTCCTTGGTGGGAGAGGTATGCAGAACCCACCAGCTTCCTCAAGGAACAGCGTCTCAAATTCATTTCTGAACAGAAAAGGTTCTGAAAGGGAATCCCATTCTTCTTTCTTCAACTCTTTCTTTTCTGAGCCATATATCTGAACTTAGCAAGGTTCTGAAATACTGGGCAATAAAAGGGTGAATGAGAAAAGAACATCGTCTTATACCAAGCCAGACCCACTGAGCACAACCAACTTGGTTCACAGACGCAGTTTTGTTTCCCAGCCGTTCTGGCATATAAATTGCAGCTGCACGAAGTCCTACGCACCGCTGGTAGATTTTGCACATACAACTGACACACGCAAGATCCAGAAACGCAAGACGAGCTTTCAGTTCTGTGCAAAACTGCATACTTCACCTACAGCTCCAAAGATGCCCTAAGAACCATTTCGTAGGGAGCCCTTTGTCTCCTCCTAATATAAACCAGGTGATGCCGATCAAAGGACTTAGACACCCAGTGAATTTGCAAAGCCCGCTTCACATGAGATCTTGACAACTTCTGGCCTCTCTACGGTTGTGTCCCTCCCCTGTTGCCTTGTTCCAGTCAAACGATTTCAGGACACGCAAACACCCCCAACAGACTTGATTCAGTTGGTTTCTTGAGGAGGGTTACAGAGGAGGGTTACAGAGATGAATGTTGAGGACCGTTAAGCCCGGAATGCCTCAAGATAGCAAGAACTGAAAATTCAGCCAGTGATGGAGAGAAGGCTGGTCAAAGCCACGGCAATCGAGAGAGAGATGGGCCGTTCAGGCACAGAAAGCATGCAAGGGGCAAGCACAGCACGGGCGGGATGCATGAGAACAGGTTAGAGGAGATACAGGCCTTTTGGGCGAAGGACTGAGAGCAGGAAGCATGGAGTTAGAGGTGCTTCAGCTGGGATCTGTGAAAGCCGCAGACCAGGAGAAAAAAGAGAGAGGCTTTAGAAGTGGGTCAGTAGGGAACCCCCAAGGCAACACTATTTTTGCCTGTGGGCAAAGGAGCCTGCTCTGTCCATCACAGCTTTTGGGTAGCAGCTAGGCTTACCTGTTCCCCCAATTAACCAAGCCAATAGCCTGGATGATGTAGACAGCTATTTGGCAAAAAAATATGAAGAAGAACACAAAGAAACTGAAGGAGCTGTCAGACCTGTGAAGAGACAGGGAGAGAGTCAAGCCGGGAGGCTGTCTTAGCAGCGAACCATTGACAACAGCAGGCGGCTTCTTAGCCAGAAGCCAAATTCTGGGCCAAACTTTATGGATTTGGCACGAGCACACCGTGGATCCAAGGATTCTTTTCCAGAACAAATAACTCTTAACAGTGAGCCCAACACTTTTACGTGACTATGCCTTTGAGGCAGGGCTGGTTAGCTTTAAGGGGAGCACTAGAACCACAGCAGGCCAAAGAACAAAGAATAACCCCTTTCGTCCCCAGAAGGTGTCCTGCCCCATTCTAAATGGCCCCATTCTTTTATATTTGTATAAAAGAAATTTCTTTATAAAAGAAATAATTGTATTTCTTCGTTTTTTTTGTGAGCCGCCCAGAGTCACCCGTGGGGGAGATGGGCGGCATACAAGCCGAATAAATAAA